CGGTCAGGGGCACTACAAGCAGAGCACCATAAGCCGGTGACCGGGCTGGCATACCATGTTTTGATAGCATGACATGACTGACAGACTTTTTTGGTAGCCAGGAAATCGCATGCGAGAGCCTATTCAAATTCTTACATCGGCCTTTATATGCACCAGTCGCATACAGGTACGGAATTTAGCATACGATTTCCAGACAATCGAAAGACTGTTTGGAGCCAACAAAGGAAGGAATGAGTGAGTTAAGTTGAAAGTATTAAATTGGTTCAAAATGATGATGTAGATAACTTAGTTATCTGAATCTAAATATCTTATGACGAGAGCGATTGGCATTTTTGGTATGCAGTGTTATTACTTATTCATTGAAAACCGGGCGGAACGTTTGAGTCTTTAATTTAGTGGTCGCCGCTTACTAATCATGCGGCATACACGCCGCACATAACCGCCAATGCCGCAACGTTGCTTAGATTTCGAAGTAAGCATTTAGTCTCACCCGCTCTGACTTCGGCCAAGAAAAATGCGTCAGCTGATCATTGTCATTTCTGCCACTTGCGTGTGGTGAAATGGGGTCATAACTTAAGAGACGGCTTTTTCATATCAATTATTTTACATAAAATCATATTTCAAACCATAAATAATGTTCGACAGCCAAATAAAAGAAACAATACCAATACAGGCTTACAGTTTAAGGCTCGACATTGTGTTGTCTACGATTAGACAGCTGATAACTCATTCCCGTACGTCGTAACTCTATAATGACCTTTGCTTATTGTCACATGTGCGCCGCATTCGCGATTGTTGCCGACGCCTGTTTGCAGGTCAGCCCACTACAGTTGTTATACATATCGAAAAACCGATAAACTTTTAGGCGAAAAAGGCACTATTCCAGGCCCATTTTTTATTTTCTTTGCGATATTAGGTAAAAACAGAAGCTTCTTATCCTAGGAAAAATAAAATGGGAAATCTTTCAAAGGTGGCACACTACCTTTAATTAAATGTGCGGTTTTCTGTCTGTCGGTGCTCTCCCATCCCTCGTTTACCCTCATCACCCAAGGCACCCAGTTGCACAATCGTGTCTGCGCGCTGAAATAGCGTCTGAGCGTTGCCGAATTCATTTCAGAGACCCTGCGGTCACATTTTACGTTACTTTCACATCCATAACGGGCTGTAACCGGGCGGCTGCGAGCCGACCCTCGGCGGTCCTCTGCGGTGCCTCCTCCTGACACCGGCCCCATTGACCCCTACCCCAGGGCCACCTCGCTCTGGGCTGACGCCCATCTGAGAAGTGCGTCAGTCAGTCGGACGGGGGCAGCTGACGGCCGGTGTCTGCAAGGCAGTCTGACTCGGGCAAGACGGTGCCAAACTCTGTCCAACTGTGACTCCAGACAAGGTCGTCGCGCTCAATGGTGACTTGGAGAAACGGTGGAACGGAATGTTCACCTGTCCATAAACATTCGGAATGTGTCCTAGAAGATCGTGCGCTTTTCTTATCTTTCAATTTTTTTTTGTTCCAGTTCATCTTTGGTAGAAATATTTGATGGGGTGTTTGTATGAATGTCTTCTACAGAGGGAAAATATTGGCGCTTGAGCTAATGTCATAAAAAAATGCTGAACGAATCGCCTCATCGCCAGGTCCTATATACATACGCTGTATATGACGTTTGCCCTGCGCCATTTTCACCTAATTGGCATCTTGAACAGATTTGAAGACGTCTCATGCTACTGATCGATTGTATTCGTCCGGCTGGGTAGACACCACACTGACTCCCCCGGCCTGTCTGTTATGAAACACGACCGTCCGCTCCTCGGGGGATCGGCGGGGAGCCAGCCGGGTGTCATGTCCGGCAGTGTCGGGCTCCTATCGGTAACCGGACACGTCTGCTGGCGGCGGACGGACGCCCGGGGGGAGGGAGGCATGGGGCGGGGGCGGACGCCACATGTAGCCGCCACTGCGTCGCCGGTGGAGCGGACACGGGTGATCAGAGGGCTGCTCCGGTGACCGTGGCCGGCGGTCGGTGCCGCTCCTTCCGTCCAAGGCTCGCGGACGCCGCCGGGTGCCGGTGACGACAGGCGCGCTCCGATGTCGGCCTTGTGCGCCGGGGGTGTGGCGCCGGCGTGAAGGTCCGACCGTGCCGCCTCTCCACCGGCAGTCGTGCACGGACGGGCGTCACGGACGGAGTCGGCGGGTAGCCAGGACTCGTGTGACTCGGGACGTTGTCACAGACCCGTGCCGTGAAGTCGGAACACATACATCCGGCCTGCCGTGCCGGAACATTCCCAGTGCTGCCAGGCTCCCTCAGGCGCACGTCAGTGTATAGAGGCTGCTGCGTACACACTTGCAGCCATCTGCCTGCTTCGTGACTGAATCGGCGTTTGACTCGTTCTCCGGCCGACGAACAATGGGCCGCCTCTGACTACCCGCCCGCTGCACGTGCGATTACACTAGAGGGCGTATCGCTCGCGCGGAGGTGCAGCTGCAGCCCTCGCCATGGTCAACAGCCCAAACCTTGTCCGGCGAAGGGTAAGTACCGGGAGCGGAAACGCAGACGGCAGAAATCACCAGTCTTTCCAGGACGTCCGGAACATGCCGTGCTTCCACTCTTTTTTTCCTTCTATATACGGAAGTCTGACGTCAATATGCTACCATTAATATTAACGATCCGATGCTGTTCGAGTTGGTTTGCTTATGCTATTTATCTCTCTTTTATCTCTTTGCTGTTCTATTGTCCTAGGAATATTTGTTTTTAGGAAATGTAAGGAAATGTAACATTTCCATGTTAAGTAAACGTCATAAAAGGCTACCTATGGCTTATTGCACATCGGCAGCTCTGAGACGATAGGGGTCATGGCCTATCTAAGTACTCTATTTTAAACTTTTATAGACACCTATAGGGGCCATGACCTTTCTAAGTACCCGATTTTAAACGTTAATGGATATCTGTAGGAGTCGTGACATTTTAAGTACCCGATTTTAAACGTTTATAGATACCTACAGGGGTCATGACCTTTCTAAGTACCCGATAACATTTATAGATACCTACAGCTATATGGACTAAATTGAACGTCCGATTATTTATTTTGGTGACTCCTCCCGCGATCATTTCAACCCCGTCTGGGTCCATGGGGGTGAGTGATGTGCGCCACTGCGCTGGAGCGGGTCGCGATCTCCAGTGGTCACTCATGTTCACGTGCTGCGCCGCCCCGAGCACGTGCTGCGATCATGTGCAGCATTTGCAGCATGACGGCTCGTTGCTCTGCTCCGAGCGCTTACATAAGATGGTTGATACTACGAGTACTGTCCAATCTTACCGCTCTAGAAAAAGGAATGTCAGAGGAGTCTGTTTACAGGAAATTCCATTTATAGCTGCGTTAATCGTTTGGTTTGAGTGGCTGGTCAATGAAACGTTCTTTTATAGGCATTTAAATTGCTTGTTATCAAGTGGGAATGAAACAGTCCGACGCACTTGCTTGAGCTCAGATGGCATAAGTGACAAAGTGATCTAAGATCTTTCTTCTTTGTGCATCTATTTGCACCTAGATATCCCTTTCATGACCAGTGACGTTTGGAGCGAGGTGAGCTTATCAAAGTTGAATTTTTCCTTTGTCGCGAAAGTTTTTTTTTCAAATGTTCAACTACCCAGTATACTGCAAGTATTTATTCGATATTTGTTCCTGGGACCTCCATACCTTCATCCAACTTCCTCAAAACTCAACTCATTAATTGTTCAGGACATCCGCAAAAAAAAAACAGCTTGAATGGCACCACTAGCCTAAAGCCCAATGACCCTGCTTCTACGCATTTTTCACACATTCGCCGATGTCTTCCGGCATCGGATATTTCCGCGTTGGCGTCTGCCTGATCACTCTTCCGCCTCTCCTCCTTCCGACGTGCGCGAGCCGCCGGCGCGGTGGGAGCGGTGGGTGGCCACACCGGCCGCCGCCGCCGACCGACCGGAACCCGCTCGTGAACTTGACCTTGCCGCCGCGCGCCGGCCGTTCCGGTGACGCCGATCCCGGCCAAGGTCGCTCGAGGGGAGGCGACACTGCCGTGCTGCCGCCCGGGTAGGTGGGCGATTGTTGGTGGCTGGGCACCGCCATGGAGGGCGACTGTCCCAGGCTGTTGCCCTCTTGGCGTGGGAAGTCCGGGAATCGAGCGAACTGAAAGAGAATTTCCCTCTATGGGTAGGTGGCGACTGGTCAAAGTCACTTGCAATAACACTTAAACCCGTGGCATGAGGGTGCTTGACTGATATCGTGTACGCACGGTCATGATCAACTGGTCGGTTGTCTGGGTGCTGGAGGGTCATGCGTAGCTATAGCACAGAAACCGTAAGCGGGAACTGGTTTTCCTAGGAACCTTTTTACGGAGAATCTGCTCCACCAACAGGCGTATGCCCTATACTATAGTGTTTACATCCCCTCCACCCTCCGAAAACGATCGCTTACAAGTTACAACGGGAAGCCCAGGATCAGCTCACGCTGATCAGTCGATACCGGGTCGGTTATTTATTTTGGACACTTGAACGACGTCCACGCTCACGGCGGTGTTTCAGCTCGGTCGACCGTTTCGGCCGTCGCTGCCGACGGTCGCGCTGGTCCTGTCCGTTGCACAACTATCGGTCCGCGTGGCGCCGGCCGGACAGGCCTGGCACAGCGTCAGTGTCCAGTTTGAGCCGGCTGCACGTGGCAAAGGCACCTTGGCCGTGGTGCCAGCCGTGTATTGGCCGGCGACCGGCCGGCCCGCCGCCCTGTTTAGTGTTTACCATAGCAGCCCGGGGCTCCGGCGGAGTTCCGCCCGACCCGCAGGACTGAATACTGATGACGGCTATCGAATGGTCAGCATAGGGCAGGGTATTTAAATGGAATAGGAGGGGACAGGAGGCCTCTAGTATGCAAAGCGTCGAAAACAGCATTCCAAAGGATTCACACGATTGTTTGAGGCTGTCAGTGGCGGGTTGACCCGGACCTGCCGGCCGACTGACACCCTGGCGCTGTCCCCGCAGGTTCCCCCCATGAGCGCGCTGGTGGTGCCGGCTGACATGGACGTGCTGGGCCCGCCGCCGGCGCTCTCCTCGTCACCGCTGCTGGGCGCCGAGTTCCTCTCGGAACTGCAGTGCGCGCCGTGGCGGCCGCCGCCCGCCTGCGCGCCCTCGGCCGCCGCCGCCGCCGCCGCTGCTGCCGCCGTGGACGCGCTGACGGACCAAATGGCACGGCTGACGCGCGCCGCGCCGCGCCCCATCCTGGCCTCCCAGCACCGCGAGCGGCGGCGCTGCAAGAAACGGGTGGCGTTCGCCGACGACAAGGGTCTGGCGCTGGTTCAGGTGAGCGACTGGGGTCCTAAGAAAACGGAAATAGTGTAGGAGCCGGGCGCCAGCTTCAGATAGCTAAAAGAGCTCGTTTGACGTTTCGTCCTTAGAAGGTTATGTGCGCGAGTAATTATTTACAGATAACGTGTAGTTTTTTTTCCTACGTTCACGTCTTGCGTTCCTTTTAGGTCATCGAGCGCGCCGACGAAGAATTCGTGAACGAGAATTTCCCGGTACGTGAGCCTCTGTGACTCCCCGGGCCGCTCCATGCATTAATCATTATTTAATCGAAAACATCCGCTTCATACATAACTTGGTTGGGCTGCTTTGCATTGCACAATAATGCTGTTTGTCGAGCATGGCAGTGAGATGAATTCATATCATCTGCATTCGTACATCCTGAGCGATTGCCGACTTTCACCGTTCGTGATTTATCAAACGGTAGCGTGAAACAAAAAGCAAAAAGTAGGTTTAGCCATTCAAATTGTGAAGTGTGAAATAATTAAGTAAGCGATTCCATGATGTTATTATGCAGGATGCTGGATAGATTTTAATTAATGTTCGTTTTTTTGACAGTTCGACACCGAACACGCGATAGAAAACGGTCCCAGCTAAAAGAAACGTTGATATAAAGTTTATGTGAATAAATGCGAGGTGAAGAAATGCTCGTACACAGGAGGTGGGACTTCACTGGCATTTTGAGTTGTCAATTTCGTTTAAAAAAAAAGGCCGATCACATAATAGAGCTATTGGTGTCGATTACACACCACTGGTAGAGCGTTTTCGTGGCCCGGAGGCTGAGCTCGCTGCCGGCTCGGTCGATTGGACGGCTGCGGCGCCGGTGCCGAGCTCTGTGACGCTCCGTCCAAATTGCCGGTCTGCGCGGCCGCAGAGGCCCTGGCCTTCGCTAGAGGTCGAGCACCACCGAGCCTCGGGGCTGCAATTACCGACGGCCGCGGCGCAGTAGAGCCATGGACTCGAGAAGCTGCAGGAGCCGATCAGATGTGGGCGCTGAGGGGAGGTGATCCGTCTATCGGTGCCTCCCAGATTCCCCGGGCGCAGGCATCTTTTTTTCCCGGTGGCTATACCGGTTTCCGGGTGGCTAGACGAAGTACTCGTATGACAGCGTTGCTGACCTGGCTTCTCTCGCCTACGTCAGCTGTCTCATTTGGAGTTAACAATTGTAAAAAGATTGAAACGTTTTTAAGGTGACCGGCATACAGATATAAGTATTCTCGAGTCCTTTTGAGAGTACTCTCGAGTTGTTATGAGCCGAGGTTCAATCAACGTCACGGGGACGTTCAAGCTTCGAGAGCAAGTTGGACCGATTAGTTTATTAAACAATCTCGGCAGGGCTGCACGGCTGCGCCTGGCACCGTCCGGCGCTCGGGCGGTCTCAGCACATGCCTTCGGTGTTGTGCTCGCATCGTGTTGATCGGGACCTAGCCGTCAGCAGCCACGTGCAGGGGTGATGTCTGCAGTTGATAGGGGAATGGGTCGTCCCTGAGGACCGGATGCCCGAAAATAGATGCTTGTTGATAACCGGGACGAACTTCCTCTGGCCGACTTTCGCTTCATGGCTCACAAAATATCTCTACAGGCGTCGTACACATCAGCCTTGCATTAATTTGATTTTCTTGTATACTTTATTTCAGGGATTGATGAATCATCGAAAGTTACTATGTACTTTACCAGACTGTGAATTCATTGCCAAATTAACAACAACAACAACAAAAACAGTACATGGGAATGCTTCTTATCTTATTGGACCCGGTTGGCTGCATGACATTATTTATATTATAATCACTTCGAATGCCGAAGATGTTTGATGCACGTCTGCTGGGAGCACGCTTGTTTGTTTTCCTTCGGGTGCTGACGAATATTTGAGGCCCCTGCTTCTGTTGGTTCCTGGAACCAGCTGTTTTGAACTGTTTTTCCATGCCGAGGTATACTTTGGCACGTTTCTGTTGCTATCTCGTACGGAATTTAACCTTCGCCCCAGTGGGGGGGGGGGGGCATATGTTACCACCCTGTCGCGTTTTTTGCGTGTAAATAAAAAACCGCGGCGCGTAGCGCCGCGCCGCTTGGGGTAGCTTCTGGTACATCAATTTTGGACAATGTTCGAAATTTTTGACCCCAGGTCATGTCAGGTCAGGTCACCAGGTCAAGTTAACTGACCAAGCCTAAAAAAGTTTGCAATCATGTCCAGCCTGCAGTGTTTGTCAGAAAGGTTTTAAACTTGGTGGATTGCATGATGTTATGGGCGCCTACAATTTGTATATCTCGGATTTTTTACATCCGTGACCTAAGGTCAGGTCAGTGGCGTGACCTTTCCATTACAAGTCAATGGAGAAAAATGAGAATGCCTCTAGATCCGTGTGTACGCATAGGAACAGTCCAAATATTTCAGAATCACAATGATTTGGACCACCCGTGATGACCAAGGTGTCATTTTTGCTGATAGCCTCTAGAAAGGTCATCCGAGGTCATTTGAGGCTACAAACAGCTTTTTGCCAATAACTTGCGATTGGAAAGAGATAGAACGCTGGGGATGGTCTCATTGTGTTTGTCTTGCCGAGACGCATCGACTGATATGCAACATGACCTTTTCCGGTCAGGTCATGACCTTGACCTGAGGTCAAATTTTCAAGTTGACCTTTCAAGGTCAAATTATAGTTCATTCGACGCGTCTCGGCGAGAGGAACACGATTCTGGCAATGGAAATGTCGTGGCTTTTTGTTGTCGAAAGTTATTGTCGAAAAACACTTTTCGGAAAAAACAGCTATTTTTGGAGTTTTTGCCCTCTGGAGGCTAAACCGTTGACCTGAGGTCAATTTTGATGACCTTTGATGACCTCTGGTGACCCCAATATTGCTCTAAGATGAAAAATGACTGAAATACTTTCAAACGTACGCATTGAGAGCTATCGACTGCTTTTTACCGCGTCTTTCTAGCCCTCTTAGTTTTTGAGTTAGAGGTGGGTGGTAACATATGCCCCCCCCCCCCCCCCACTAGGGCGAAGTTGGCTGAGACCGCCACTGGGGCGCGGGTTAACCCAGACGCCGCCGTTGGCCGACCCTGACCTTGGCGACGGTGCCTGCTGCGGCGGTCAGCTCCACCGCGGCGACCTCCGGTGCCCTCTGCCAATCGGCTCACCCACGCAGGCCCCACAGTGAGCCAGCCTCCCTTCCGCGGCCTATCCATCCGCTCTATCGCGCTCCCCGGGATAGAGGCCCAGTAGTCAGTGCGACTGATCCGACTGCCAACAGTTCACCCAGGTCGGCCCCACTGCAGACACCGTAGGAACCTCCCTCCCTCCAACCGGAAAGCTGATGAAACCTTGCATTGCTCCCCACCTGCTATGGGATTCATGATGCTTTCACTATTTGGGCTGTGAACTATTTTGCACTGTGTTACACCCTGCCAGATGTCAGATCCAGATTACCTATGTAAAATCATCGACGATGCAATGCAGTTTGCTTGATCATCGGTGTCTTGGTGCAGCGCATGGACTATGGAGAGTGGAGACATTCTGCTTCATGAACTAACGGACAACTTAATTGCCCCCTTAGCGTCTTCCCAAGGACAGACACCACCTTCACTTCCTGTATATAAACTGTATAGACGGGATGTCATCGTATTCGCATACGAGCTTCAATTTAAATCAGAAGCACGCCTCACGTTTCACGCGTTTATAACATGACGCCGACCGGTGTGCACTAGAATTGTCAACCTTGTGACCGGAGGCACGTTCCCCATCGATACTGCTGTCCGTCGTCCACGGACCGTGACCATGAGACGTTCTGTATCGGTGCTGCCCCCGTCCCCCGCGGCCGTGCCCCCCCCCCCCCCCCCCCGGTGCTGCCCCCGTCCCGAGCAGAGTGTGACCGTGCCCGTCGGTGCCGACAGACGCGGGTGGTGGCCGACACGGACGGTCTGCCGCTCGGCTGGAGTCTGGAGCTGACGCCGCCGCGGCTGCCGCAGCTGCCCCAGCCGCCGCAGCGGCCGCGCTGGAGCCTCGCCGGCGGCCAGCCGGTGGCCGAGTTCTCGCGCTTCTGCCAGCGGCTGGACCGCGACTCGGTGGCCCTGGAGACGGCCGTCTGCGGCGCCGGCCGGCGCACCATCACCGGCATCATACGCGTCAAAAACCTCGGCTTCGAGAAGCGGGTGTTTGTGCGAGCGACGAACGACGGTTGGCGCAGCAGCCGCGACTGGAGCGCCATCTACATCGCGCCGGTACACGGCGCCGTGGGCCCGGCACCCTCCTACGACCGCTTCTCGTTCGAGGTGGAGACGCCCGATGTGGGCTCAGCCGCCGAGCGGATCGAGTTCTGCGTGTGCTTCCAGTGCGCGGCCGGCGAGTTCTGGGACAATAACGGCGGCGGGAACTACGTGGCGCTCCGTGAAAGCCTCCCCGAGCAGCCGCCGGGGAGTCCGCCTCCCCGGTGGGAGCCGGAGGCGCCGGCGCCGCGGCCGCCGCCCCGGGACGTGTTCCGTGCCAAAGTGGAGAGTAGCTGGGCCTACTTCTCGAGCTGGGGCAGTGTGACGGCCGAGGTGCCCTACTGGTGACCGGTCGGCGGCGCTCCGGTGCCCGGTGTGGCCAACTGTCCCGCCGCCCACTAGACAGGGTCGCTGGGTGGGCGATGAATCGCGGAGAGATCGATCAGCCAATACCGTTCCTCATGAGTGGTTCTCCCACTGAACTGTGTTTGCCATCGCTAAATATGACCTCGCGTAATATTACAAGCCAAACGGACCGCCCGGGACTACCCACCCGTGTGAGTATCTCCCACTGGAGGATGCAATCTTACCAACCGGCCGACATTTTTCGGCCATTTAAAACTGCGCAGACTGGCTCATAGACAGGTCACCGTCCGGACCGGATGTGCTGACAGGCCATCTGTTACTCTCGCATGACTAACGCGTCAACATAAATCGTTCTGTGACGGACTGTACAAAACTGGCGTTCTGCGACGAACGCGTACAGACCCCGCTGGCCTATGGTTCTGCAGCACCTGCGCTCAATATCAGCCCGTATTGACGTGATGCTGCAGAACATGGTGTCCAGTTCTACTGTCATTGGACATATCTGTCCGCTATGCTTCATAGTGGTCGTGATCTATGCGCCAATAGTATATGCCGTTTTTGGCAAACATTCGACGGAGTGTGGCATGACCAAAATGCCACCGAAATGCACAAGAGGGCTGTATAAGATCCCGGTCACATGTTATCATCGGGCTGTCGATGCAGACAGCTTCCGCCCGTATGAAGACAGGGCATGTCGTTTTGCGGGATTTACCAGTGCCTTGCTTTTTACTGCATTTTACAGGTGTGTGTCACGGACCTGTGACACGATTGTCGTGCTTCTTTCAGTGAGCAACGCGTCTTCTTGACGAGCCCACCGTCTTTTCACGAGCGAATCGTGGACTAACATGCTATTTATACTCATCTAGTGTAATATTTAAATATAATTAACCCGGTCTCGGATGTCGAATGCTGCATGCCATTGCAGAATACATATACTGTTCATATGACCCGTGTTTTTTACATGGGCGAAGCACCTAGCAATGTCCGAGAGGCGCAGTGTTGCTTTAGGTACTCAACTCAGTCGCAAAATATTCATCAAACGATAGTGTACTTACTATGGATACGGTCGCGTGATGAGACTCTCGTGCTTAGCTCACACCGGTCTCTGAGGCAAACACGGCCTTGTTTTCGATGATTGCGTTTAGTGGGACACCGACAACAGAGCCCGTGACGCGATGAGATGAGGTTATGTCACGTGGCTGATACAGTCCGACCTCAAAGGCCCCTAGCTCGCACCAGAAGACGGCTGTTCCACAAGCCGCTCACATACGCAGACGAACACATAGACAGCACTCAATCCGTGGTGGCTGCATTTGATGAATACAAAACACAGTTGCGAATAAACGAATAAGAAATTGACGCGTCTTGTGAAAAATGCTCATCGCTTCCGCTTCTCAAAGCAATTCGAGCAACACGCGAAATTGGCGTAGCAAGGGTTCTCCTAACTATCTCTCAAAAAGACCTCACTCGCACATTAACATCCACACAACGCACTACCGTTTCAGGCACTAGTAATAAGAAAATAGACCGCCTAGGACCGTGGCTGGCCAGGTGCTCAGCAGCGAACCTCCGCGCTCGCTGCCGGATGACCTGGTTCGGCCGCGCCAGATACTGAGGTGGCATCTCTACGTCTTCAGGTAACCTACGTCGGGACGGGATGGCGTCTCGGGGGCCTGCTCGCGCCTCCCGCCCACCGCCCGTAACAGCCATTATCGTCACGTCACGTCACGTCGCGTTCAGGTGGCCGTCAGCCACTCGGTGTACATCCGCCGCCATCCGCGGCGGGTCGGGTCAGGTCGGTCCGCCGCGGCCGGCAGCTGTTCAGCCGCCCGCCATATTTTGTACTGGGTGAGCGGCGCCCGGCCGGCGGTGGCCGGGGCGCCGCTCCGTTCACTGGGCGTCGCCGGTGAACCGCGCACTGCCGCTGCTCGGCCCGGCAGTGATGTGCACAACCGTCCCACTGCCCGCTGGGACCGCCCCACCAGCGGCGCGTCCCAGGAAGACTTCACTCACATGGGGCCGGGCCACATCTCCCGGCGCCGACAGTTGGCCGGAGCCGGCTGACGCTGCGCCACAAACACCGCTCCCTGTCGCTCCGTCCGCCGACAGCAGAGTCCGATCGAGATTGCCCTCGGTCAGTGCGAGTTGCCTCGGCACGCGGCACGTCTTCTCTCTCACCTCACCGTGAATAGCACTTTATCCCTCTCGCGTTTCCCGGAGTCGCACACCGACGTAATAAATAGACCACTTCTCGCTCCGGGTCGCTCCTTAACACACAGCGTACTACTCGGACGGGTAGAAACGGCCTGTGTGACCGAACACAGTCCCACCGCGCTGTCGGGTCACTGCCGCGTCACACACTGTCCCTGGGCCCGGTCACTGCCCTGACCGGACGCTGCGCCTCTGTCCGGCTACTGGCGCACCCAGCGCCGTCGGTCACTGCTGCAGCAGTTTGGACGGCGACGGCCGGCCGCCGGCGCCCACCATCACGGACATGGCGCCGCTGCCGGCCGCCGGGAAGGAGCCGGGCGGCGCCAGCGCGGCCGGCCACCGTTTGAGCTGCGCGCCGGCCGCCTCGGTGGCCATCAGAATCTGCAGGCTGGGCAGCGAGTCGCCGTCGCCGCGGCCGCCGGCCGTGCTCGGGTCGCGGTCCTGCTCCTCCAGGAACCGGTCCATGTAGTCGCTGTGAGGGGAGGGGTGCGGACGGCGGTCAGCGGGCACAGGACACCCCACAGGGATATACACAAATACCAGGCGGCGACACTCCGACAGGTCATACACATACATAGCGCTACTATTATATCATGCCTAAATGACCCTGCATACGACAGCGTGTACCAGCTTCCCTTACCAGTAGGTAATTTTATATCGTTATATGGGCCTCTTTCACAAGATTAGTGACACCAACAAAGAAAAGCCCAGTTTACGTAAACATTAATACAGTGAAATCTTTTTTTAGCAATGGGGGAGGGGAAAAGAAGGACAAGGCTACTTGTTCGCACGTTCTAGGGTCGATTGCGCCATTTCGCATAAACGCACTATGCCTTTCATGATAGCAATTCGTAAAAGACGATTACTTACGTGACACCCGGATTTAATGCGTATTTCCTCTTCTCCATTTTTGTTTTGTTTGCAAACACGTCATGTCTTTCAGTCTTCTTCCAGAGGTAATAGAACTGCACTAGCTCGCCCACTGAGCGGGTTCGAACCTGCACAAACAAAACGGAAAACCAATGTAAGATTGACATTCAAGTTTCAACTACCTATGCGAATTGCTAGTATGTCTCAAGGACGAAAATACATGTATTGATTCGGAAGCCCGAAACAGTGCCGGGCGTCTCCCACCTTTTGTTGTTGTATGGTGTAGAAGTCTTTGCCATAGAAGCGCAGTCCGTTCTCGAAGTTGGCGCACTCCTCCTCCGACCACAGTGAGAGCGTGTCGATCTGCTGGTGATTGTTCATCTGGGTCCTCCGCAGGGCCTCCTCGACACTGTGGCCGCACTGCTGCAGCAGGAACAGAGCCTGGCGGGACACGGCGGCCGCGTCACATGGCAGACAATGCATCGGTGTTCGACGCTCCCCGAGCCCACCAAAGCAACCGAGCCTGCTTGGAAACTTAATCTTAAACGCTTATGCAGGACTCGATATGACCGGAGGCAGAAAGGTAAAAATATTCACTACGACTTCATTGAATTATGGCAATGAAGTTGCAACGTCCATAACGTCTTTCGTTTATAACCTCTGAAGTTGTACACCGGTGTTAGGGTCAATTCGCCACAAATACGCATTCGGCCACAGACGGGTAGCTGGGTCCCTCTCGCCGCACTCACCTGCTCGTTGTCCCTGATGTGGCAGCCGTTGGGCACGGCAGACACGCCCTTGGCCTGCTGCAGGCGGGCGTCCTGCACTTGGCGCAGGTAGGTCTCCACGTCGGCGGCGCGGAGCACGGCCGGGTCCCAGAGCAGCCGGTCCTCGTTCTCGTAGGGCGGCGTGTCGCCGTACGGACTGAGACCGTCCGGGATGGCCGCCTGGTACACGCTGCCGATCATGATGGTCTTGCGCCAGTTGCTGTCCTCGCCCGAGCTCTCGGAGCTGTCCGACTCGTCGCCGTCGTCGCCGGCGGCCAGCGCGTCGTCGGCGGGCGCCTCGGAGCGCAGCGCCCGCTTGGCGGCGCCGGCCGGCTCCAGCTCCGGGTAGAGGGCGGACAGCGCTGAGCGGCGCGCCTTCTTGGCCGGCGGCGGCCCGCCCGCGTCCGCGCCGTCACGGTCGCTGGCCTCTGTCTCGGTGGCCGGCTCCTTCTCCGCCTGCCAACACAGGACGGTGTTACATGACGTGACAGCAACTGATATCAAACCTTCAACAGTGATAGCTGTAAAACCTTGCTATGGTGTCTTGATTCTATTGCGAAAAAAAAACGCTGCACAAGATGCACGCATAGGTATTTCACGCAATTTGTAAAATGGGGAAACGGCTGAGTTCGGGCATTGTAATGACAAAGTAAAGTAAGTAAAGGACAAAACAAAGTGGTTCGGACACGGTGAGATCACTGAGCAGCTCAGAGTTCTCTCACCTGAGTGCTGGCCGCCTCCTCCGAGGCCGAGCTGGACTGGGACGCCTCGGCGTCGTCGCCGTCGGCCGCCGCGTCCTCTCCGTCGCCGTCGGCGTCCGGCGTGGGGCTGGCGTCCGGTGCGGGCGCCGCGGCGTCGGCCGGGCCGCCGCCGTCCGGGTAGCGGCCGTACATGGCCAGCAGCTTCTCGATGGGCATGTCCTGCTCCTGCTGCAGCAGGTCGGCCTCGTTTCGCTGCTGCTCGGCCGTCTCGTTTGCCTCGGCCTCGTCCAGTGTGCCCTCGTCGTCAAAGTCGTTGACCATCATGTCGACGGTGGGCTCGAACTCGCGGTCGCGGTCGCTGCCCGCCGGCGACGGCTGGTCGCGCCCGCTGGTCTGCTGAAATGAACAGTGAGATGGTGAGGGAGGTGGCTATCTGGCTCAGAAGAACCCAACACCTTATAGTCACACACAACCTCACCTAACTGGTTGAGAGTTAGCCTTTTCATTCACACGAATAGGCAACTTGCTGAAATAACTCGTGTACATACTATGAAGCATAATTAGCATTTAGCACCTCTAAATCACTGCCCAATATTTTCTGTTGAGTACCCAGCCATTTGTCCATACTCCACACCAGTCAAACCTCATACCAAATTTCAAATCAAAGGGCCTTCAAATACAGGTTTTCATAAGTGGTGAAGGTACCTACTACCTAGACACCAGAAACTAATTAATTTATAATGGCAATAACCAAAATCATACAGCAAAGCATACTTGAGCACAATACAATAGCCAAAATCTCATAATTCAAGAGCCAATAATTCAATATCTTTTTCCTAAGTTTGCTTTGCTCAATGGCGGTGCTGAGATTGCTATAAAAACTGTTGTCCATGAGAACTGTCCATGAGAACAAACACTGTCCAGAATAAGCTGGGGATTTTCATTCATAAGAGAAACTGGGTTATATTTTTACTGGTTTTAGGAAACCTTGGGCACATCAAGTACAAAATTGCAGTTATTGATGCTTATCATTTGTTTTCCTACAATACAAGGCTTTAGATTGTCCATAGATTTACAATTCAATTATTTGTTACATAGCAATTAGCAATTGTAACTTTAGATAATCACAATGCAATGGATAAAATGTTGCATTTGATAATGTTACACTGCTAATGTTGCATCTTCAAATGATTTTTCAAACTTTTAAAGTCAGCAGTAGCTTAAAATTAAGCTGATCAAGATCTGTCGTTGTTCATGCCCAGTGTTCACACTTTTGCGGCTTCGCCTACTCCGAGATAATACAAACTGTTGGAAAATGAGCATAACATTTATTGACCATAAAAATACCACCCCTCTCCGAGATTAAAAGGATGAAGTTAATGGATTGTAAAATAAATC